AATCTCAACACAAAACGTGAATGAAAAAACTTCGTTTTTAATTTCTTCCTCTCTCATTCCCGAACCGTAAACCAAAATGGCTTCCCAATTTTTTTTTTTTTTTCTCTACATAAAAACTCACTTAAAACGCGATTAATTAATTAATTTATTATTTACATTTCCTCTCCCCCTCCCTTCCCTTCCCTTTTCTAATGTGTTTTCCTTTGACTCACGCGTGCCACACATTGATTGATTTTCCAATCAATCAATCATTTAATTGAATTTAAAAAAAAAACTTTTCCAATGTTAATTTATAATAGACATAATAATAATAATAACAATAATAAAAATGATAAATAAATAAATATTATGTATGCTATTTCAAACACTTTTCCGTTAAATAATAATAATTATAATAAATATTATTATTATCATTATCATCATTATCATTTTGTATTTTTTTTGTAAAAAAAAAAAAAAAAATTTGTAATAAATAAAAAAAAAATTTTTTCTCAGTAAAAAATGTAATGTTTTTTTTTTCATTTTAAAATCCTATTTTTAAAAAAATTATTTTTAAAAATCCCTTAATTCGACCCTGATTAACTACACCTAAACACACCTTTTGGTAAAAAAAAATTTTCTTTTGCTTGACGATTACGCGAAGAGAGGGATCGGTGAATAGAGCGGAGGAGGAGGGGGTGTGCGCGATTCACAATAAAATTTATTCTTAACGAAAGAAACACAAAGAAATGCGGGAAAAAAACGAAAAACGGAAAATAAACCCGAAAAAAATAATTTGGCACTAAAAATGTCACCTCCTGACATTTATGATACCTGATCGCACCACCTGATCCAAAGAGTTTGAAAAGAAAAAAAATGGGTTTTTTTTTAGACATTCTCAAGAGCGCGAAACTTGACTATAATGACCGAACAACATGATGTCGTCGACTTACAACCCTAAATGCAAAATCCGTTTTAACGTTATGAGGAACCCATTCGACTAATTTTGTAGTTTGGTAGCAACAAACTACCTACCTACCTACCTACTACACGCAACTACCTATTACTTGTAACTAAATGTTTTCTTATTCGTTTAGTATTTACAACCTTATCACATTAAATTGCACTGACTCGG